TTATTTAAGATAGACTTTATACGATTAGTAATCATTTTAGATCCAATCTTATAGATGACATTGCTAAGGCTAATGGGACGAAAATCAACGACACGTTTAGGATTTTTCACTTTAGGAATGAGCACAATGTGGGTGAAGTTAAGATTTTCAGGGATGCGCCTCTTATTTAAAAATTCAAGAATGCATTTAGTAACCTCTCGGCCAATAATACGCCAATATTTTTGGTAAAAAATAACTGGCATACCATCTGGTCCCGGAGATTTAAGAGGAGCCATCTGAGAGAGAGCTGTAGTTACCTCTTTAGAAGAATAAGGTTGGATCAACATTTGATTTGCCTCGTCTGATACTCTGGGGTTCATTAATTCCACAACCTCTCTCATCTCATCCGGGTTCGGGTTGCACGACTTAAATATATCCCCAAAATAATCTGTTACAATGTGCTCCAAGTCTGATGGATTTTTCTTCCATTCACCAAATTGGTTCTCAAGCCCCATTATCTTATTTGCACGATTTCTGGTTGAGGCCTTAGAATGGAAAAAAGATGTGTTACGGTCGCCCTCTTGAACCCACTGAATTCTGCTTCTCTGTCTCCAATACATATCAAGGTCACCGTATAATTGCTCAAGTTGCTTCTGGAGGACAGAGATTTCCGCTTTACTTTGTACGGTCACGGGACCCAACTGTATAGCATGAAGTTTCTCCTGAATTTCAGCAATTCTATTTCTCGGCTTACTCAGCACATCTTTACTCCATCGGATCAATCCAATTCGACATGCATCTGATTTTTCTCTCCATTTCTCAAAGGGATTCGATGATGATGCGCCTTCCTCCCATGTCTCCTCGATAATCCTCGCACACTCGTCATGACGAATCCACATAGCTTCAAAACGATAGGGCCTCGAGTTTCTTGACCGATTTATCCTAGAAGGTATGCAAAGTTTGAGAACGAGTGGCTTATGGTCTGATCCGACTGATTTGACATGATTCACCCGGTGATTAGGAAACATAGATATCCAGTCTGTGGATACACAAATTCTATCCAACCTGCAGCGAATTGTATCAGGCTTCTCTCTGTTATTGTTCCACGTAAATGGATCTCCTTCAAAACCGATATCGGACAAGCCGCAATCTTCAAGCGCACTTCTAAAAGCCTCAATCATTGCAGGCAGCCTTGGAACTCCCCCCTCTTTCTCTGTGTTGGACAAAATCTCGTTGAAATCTCCCCCAATCACCCATGGCAAACTATTCCCCGCTGCTAGGTCTCTCAAAAGGTTCCAAGACTTATAACGTTGAGAATGATCGGCGAAACCGTAAAATCCAGTGAATCTCCACATTCCTTCGTGCGTTGGTATCGAAACCCTCGCATCAATGTGATTGTGAGAGTAGTGTTGAATGTCAACCGTTATATCCTTTTTCCATAGGAGAGCCAATCCGCCGCCTCTCCCGACTTTATCAATACTTAACCCAAATAGATTCCATTTCCTTTTCAATGATTCTATCAATGGCTGATTACATTTTGTCTCTGATAGGAATACAAGATCAGGGTTATAAGATCGAAGAAGATCTCCGAGGCAATGAATTGTCAAGGGAACCCCGAGCCCTTGACAATTCCAGAAGAGACAACTCATTGCAATCTTACGAAGGTTGACACAGACACCTAAAACCGTGAGATCAAGAGAGAAGTTGTAGAATGATAGAGCCCCAGTGTAGCTGACGAAGAATGAAATCCAAACCTACTATCAGACATCAAAGAGAGAAAAGAAATAGGGGATTGACAATCAATAACACCAAATAGAATATTAGGGTAATGAAAAGAAGAAAAAAGACAGCGGCTAGGGTTTGAGAATATTGGAAGCTGACCAAAGGAAAAAAAACAACATTACACCTAAAAACCTTCACCAACATCACGAATGATCAAAACCATTTAACTCAATAATCTATGCCAGATCAGCCCGATGAAAACTCATCATAAAAGTAAAAAATTTCACGCCTCTCACACAGAGAGAAAAAAACCTCTCACGCAGAGAGAAAAACCACAAAAATATAAATAGAACTTAACCCATGTAATAAATTAAGCTATTTGATACTCATTTCAAAATCGCTTCCTAGTTGTTATAACTAAGTTTGTTAACGTAACAAACCAAGCTTCAAAATATATTTTCGTTTAATAAACTATGAAGCTCGCAGCTTTCTTTTGTTTAATTTCATTCAAATATATGTACTTTTATTTTATATATATATATATATATATATATATATATATATATATATATATATATATATATATATCAATTCCTCGTTTTCTTGAATAAAAACAAAGTCCAAAGCATTTATTATTATTCGAAAAGCATTTGTAATTCCAAATTAAATATATAAACCGACAACATCAAGTATAGTATGGGAATATTATGTGGGGCACGTGAAATTTCTTGTTCTTTTTAGTTTTTTTCATAAATGTCTAAAATTCAAATTATTTAGTAATTTCATACTTGATAAATTAATTTTGTAAAAATAAAATATGTTATTATCATTTGTCGGTAGACAGTAATACTTTTGAACCACGTGCATTTGTTGACTTTTTGTTCACGGTCAGTCGTCATAGGGAGACCGACCCATATCAAATCTTAGCCGTTGATTTGATGACCCGGAATTTGAGCCGTTCGATTTCGTGATGCTACTAGTCATTACACAACAGAATCCAACTGAAAAAACCTCCATTATATTCATAACTTTTTCAATCAATTTAATTAAGTATGTCACTCTCATTGAGGCGTTTGTAAACACCTTCCCTAATTATTACTCCATCCGTTTCTAAATAATTGTCACCTTTCACTTTTTACAAAGATTAAGAAACTCAATAAATATATCTTGATTTTAGAAAAAAATATATAAAAATAACTAAAACAACCTTTAATATTTAATAATTTATAAGAGAAAATTAATAAATCGAGTTTCACTAATAAGGTTAAAATAGGAAAAATGCATTTAATGCAGTATTGGAAATCTAAAGTGACAGATAATATGGAATAAAAATATTTTTAAGAAGATACAGTTATTGTGGAACAGAGAGAGTACTAATATTCTCGAAAGAAAAACAAAGAGTTTATTATTAGACAAATTTTATAAAATAATAGCACCGCGATTAGTACATTTAAATAAAGTCGAATCTACATGAATATTTGATTATAGTTACGAATTTACCTTTTTTATGTTTCACACATGAATTAATTTTCATTCTTGTACATAGATTGAGGGTCTCGTTTCAATAATTACGACGGTAATTTTTCTTTTTACTTTATACTTATTGATAAATGAAATTAAATGATAAATTGAATTTAAATAATTTCATATGTATGTTTATGTTAATAAATAATGTATGGCTACTTACAACAAAGTTGTGAAGTTCATGCACAACTAGTAATGCTTGGGTTATGTTTAATTAAGTTTATTATAAACAGTTGATAAATTTTTAGGTTCGATAAAAGTATTTTAAGAGGTGATAAGTTGTTATCTTATATTGTAATTGATTTTTAAAATATTTAAATAATGATTTTATAAATTATTTTTAATTATTATAAGATCTTAGTCTAGACAAAGACCCTACTTCAACTTTATTAAGGTGGTGCTTGCAAATAATTATTTAAATGCAGAAGTTAGTGATTGTGATTTAAGTTAGTTTTAAGTGCTTATTTCTAAAAGTTGGGGGTGTTTGCAAATATTTCGGAAAATGAACTAAAATTGAAAAAGCAGGGTTACGGGTGCTTTTAAAAAAATAGCTTAAAGCAGATTATTTTAAGAGAAGCAAAAGCAAAAGTTGATTTTGCAAACACCAAAAAACAGATTACGAACAAAAAAACCGCATAATCACTTTCAAAAGGCATTTGCAAGTACCACCTAAATCATAATACAAATTAGTAGGAATTTTAATAATCAAATATAAAATTAATAATATTACACGTGTATCACGCGCCAAAAGTATGTAGTGGGGATAGTAAAAATTCAGAGTTATGGGCATTGACGGAGACGTGTTTCCTCCTTTATTGGTAATTAAGAAGATTTATACTTCTTATTGTCAACATCTGAATTTTATATTTTTTATTTTATTTTTTCAAATAAATACTAAAATTGTGGTAATGCGTGAATTCACGAACTATAAAATGTCTCTATAATTTTCAGGATATGATGATATATTATAATTAATCAACAATTATAAATTATAATTATATAATGAGATCAATTAATTTTATCTGATATAACAATTATAATATCGGTACGTAACATAGTAATATGAACCCTTAGATTAAGAGAAAATGTTGCAATAAAAAAATAATTTAAAGATTATTCAAATCTCCAAGAATATATATGCATCATCATATCAAAGAATGAATTCAAAATATTTTTGATTTTGAAACTATAATTTTATCACTAAAAATTGAAATACATTGTAAAACGAACTTATCTAAATAATTTCAATACTTTGTATAATGAATTCGAAATTCTCAGCCACGAATCTCTCCATCAAAACGAGCTATTCAGATGCAGCAATCGATGAAATACACCAGATAATTTTTAAGCATACAGATGTGTGTAATTATGTGTAGATCAATGATTAATAAATTTTATACCGGTTGAAATGCAATAGGAAGGATAAATAAATTTTGTATTGATTATTCAACAAGTTAAATTAAATACAATTGCAATAAATACACTTTTTTAAATAGTCGTAAAAATTGAAAAAGTATAGGGGCAAAAATCAAAATAGTATATTTTGACACACCGACCCCATTAGCTACGCAATAAATAACCACAATCAGGTGTGGGTGATTACTGTTACGCGCGCTTATTTGGCGCGTAATAAACAAATAAAACATAAATTAATAATAAAAAATATAATTTTTTTTGTTTAATTAATAAACGAAAGCACACGCAATAAAAAGGCAAAAAGGTCAAATAAAATAAAAAGAATTGAAAAAGAAAATAAAAAAATTGGAAAGGCGTAAAAAGTGCACAAATATCTCACACACACATTGAGTGTGAAACGTATAAAAAGCTGCGAGTATCGAAAATAAAACTAAAATAAAAAAATAAATTTGTTTCTCTCTCCTCTCTCTCTCTCTCTCTCTAAAACCACCAAACCCCTCACAATCAAACAACCTCCCTCTCACACAATCACACACACACACACACACACACAACTGTATCTCTTTGGGTGTGTATATATTTATATATAATTATATACAAACAGTCGTACACACACACACATAGATATATAATTTCACTTGGATACTAATCTCTGTGAATTTCATTATATATTAACCAATTTATTGTACAACACATATATATATATATATACACAAAATACTGTCTTATATATTTCTGAGGAGAGAGAGTGTGTCTGTGTATGGAGAGGTACAGTGGGACCCAGGCATCGGAGGCGATGCCGGTGGATCCGGCGGCGGGATGGGCTGCGGAGGGAGGGGAAACCGGGCTGGAAGGCGAGTTGCATTTGAATTTCACATGAATTTGAGTCTAATTTACTGACAGCTGAAAATTTCGCAATGTTGATTGGTTTGTGGTTTGATTTTTTGAATGCAGAGCATATGTGGCAATTGGGCCTTGGTGGTGGGCCCGAATCATACCCTGAGAGGCCCGATGAGCCTGACTGTATCTATTACTTGAGAACTGGATTCTGTGGGTATGGCGATCGGTGCCGGTTCAATCATCCACCTGATCGCAGTGCTGTAAAAACCCCCCATACTTCAATTTTGTATTTTTTGATGCATAATTGGTTAAATAGTGGAGTTTTTTTGGGGGTTTTATGTGGATTTGGTGCTAGTTGGGTAAAAATCGGGTCTTTTTTTTTTTGGGGTTCATTTTGTTGATTTTCTGAATGGAAATTGAATAGATGGAGGAAATATTTGCATTTTGGAGGGTCACTAATTGGTCAGATATTGATTGAGCTAAATTATTGGGGTTTATTTATGAATGTGGAAGTAGTTGGTAAAATCGATCCTTTGTTGTTTAAACAAAAGTAGTATACATTCTGGATCCTGCAAATCGGTGTGCATGCATCGTATAGAATTGGGGGATAATTTGGAGTAAAAATCGAGTCTTTCTCGTAATAACTTTTGTATTGATCTTGACAAAATAGAAGTTGGATGTTTTTTTTAAATATTTTTTGGTGATTACATCACTTTGGTAAACATGTATCGTTATATGAGCTATTTTACCTGACCGCAGGCAATGGGAGCTTTACGTACTAGTGGAGACGAGTACCCGGAACGCACCGGCCAACCTGTCTGTCAGGTACACAGTTGGATGTTACTTGGGGTTGATTAAAAGGAAACATGATATTCCGAGATTGTGCTAACTGACTATTAATTTGTCGTCTTCTTGTATTTATCTTTATGCTTTATGCGGTTTTCCATTATGACAAAGTATTGATGTTTATGCTGAATGCAAGAATCTTTCAACCAACTCTTGATCTGGGTGAAGTCTATCTCTTACATCTTGGCATCTTGCTATTTAACTAACTTGTCTTATTAGTTTCTATTTAAGGAAGCTGACTTTGATCTATGGGGGTAAATTGCGGAAGTTTGTATTAATTGTCTATTTCCCGTTTTTCTTTGAATACCGAGCATTTCTTAACGATCTGCAGTGCCTCGCTGCTTATTGTCTGACATTGTCCTCATATTTCAGTTGGATTCAGTGTTAAGGATCACTAGTTGAACTCGTGTTATCTTCTAGCTTACTATTTAAAACCCGAATTGTTTCGTCAACTGTATGATGAAATAATGAGAAATCTTGTTCGAGTAGTTGAGGTCAGAATGTAGAACCTGTGCATGTTGGAGCTGTAAAACTCCACAAGTTGCCTTTTTTCTAAAATAAACAACTTCTATTTTGTTGATCATCCATTTGTCTTTTCTATTACTTCTTTCCTTAGTATGTTAAGGTAGTGTTTTGGGTTTGCAACGACATTCATGAATGTAATCTTCTCTACATATTACATGTCGCATGCTTTTCAATGTTACCATAAATTGGTCGTCCACTCTATTTGTCATCGCTTTATGTTTTTCCTTTTTAGTTTAGAATTACACAATCATTTAGTTATACAAATCATGTTTTCCCCCCATGCATTTCATGCTCTTTGAACTGAATTTTGTAGTACTACATGCGAACGGGAATGTGTAAATTCGGTTCTTCCTGCAAGTACCACCACCCGAAGAACGGAGTTGGATCTCCAGCCCCAATCCCTCTCAACTTTTATGGATATCCACTGCGACCGGTCTGCCACTATAATATTTTTTTTCTTTATCTCATTAAAAAAGCTTATATAATATTTTTTAATTCTATATCAAAAATAACATATTATCAATCTTTTTAAACATTGAAAAGAAATCGTATTCTTGAACGATTTAGCTGTCTCATAGTGTCCTCGTTGCAGGGAGAAAAAGAATGCTCATATTACATAAAATCAGGGCAATGCAAGTTTGGTGTGACCTGTAAATTTCACCATCCACAGCCCACCGGTATTCAAGTGCCGCCGCCCCCTTCTGTTCCAGCAGCTATGCCGACAACTGCTATTTATCCGAATGTGCACTCTTCTCAACAATATGGACTAATTACAGGCAATTGGCCGGTTACTAGGCCTACAATGCTCCCCGGTTCTTATGTTCCCGGAAGTTACGGCTCTATGCTATTTCCTCCAGGAGTTGTTCCTATTCCTGGCTGGACTCCTTATCCGGTACAGCTCGTTTTTTCATCCTCGGTTTTCTTTGATATATATGTCTTGGTTTTGTGCTGAAATATGTGAGTACATTGTTACAGGCAAATACTCAGCCCACATTTGGTGCTGGCCCGATTTACGGTATGAATCAGTTATCTCCTTCATCGACTGCCTACGCAGGTCAACCGTATCTCCCCATTACTTCTTCTTCGTCTTCTTATGGTGGACCCTCGAGCAGCAGTGCATTACCAGAAAGACATGGTCAACCAGAGTGTCAGTATTATTTGAGGACTGGAGATTGTAAGTTTGGTTCCACGTGTAAATATCATCATCCGCCAGAGTGGACTGCATCGAAGACAAATTTCATACTTGGTCCTTCTGGTCTCCCTTTACGCCCAGTAAGCACACCCAATTCTCTTTACTTTCGGAAATAATAATTTGAAATTATCTATATATTGAAGAAGATTGTGAACATCTTGCTACGATGGTCCGACTATCACGCTTATTTGTGCATTTTCTTGATGACTTTTTTTTTTCGATTTTATGAAACTAGTGAATATAGTTGAAAAATATGTCTTTCTTAAAATATATCGTATTGTCTCTCAGGGTGCACCTCTTTGCTCTCATTATGCACAAAGCGGATTATGCAGATTCGGGGCTGCATGCAAATTCGATCACCCATTAAGAAGTCTGATCAGTTACAGTCCATCTGCATCTTCTCTCACCGATATGCCCGTGGCTCCTTATCCAGTGGGGTCCACAAACACAACCTTGGCCCCGTCATCTTCTTCCTCGGACTTGAGGCCAGAGAATATTCTTTCGGGTTTGAGCAAAGATTCCTTGTCATCACAGATGTCATCATCTACAAACAGTTCAAGTGCTTCAGTTGGTTCGACTTTCTCAAAAAGCGCCACTAAATAAAAAATGATCGAAGTTTTGCCACAACTAACTGCGTTTGAGCAACTTTCTCAAAGCCAAATTCAGTTTTTTTGTGGGCAGAAATCCTATAATGCATAGGATAGGCCTTATAAACGAGCAAAACTTCAGCCAATCAGATTATCCTGTTCATATTGTCATTATATGAAACAACCCCCCTTTTGAATAAGTTATACATATTATATACCCCGAAAGAAAGATCTTGCAAAAAAACCCCATTTTGCCCTCCTCTCAGCTACTCTTTGAATAACAAGAACGAACCCAGTCCGAAATTTTTTGAAGCTCGTTGTCTCTATTTATGCCGTCTTTTTTGGAACAAGAAAAAGTAATGTTCCACCATTCTCCACCTGGATTTAACTTTATTCACACCTCTGTTTTATTCCCTTCATTCGACTAGGAAATGAATATGATGGCCTTATTCCTTTTTTTTTTGTTCGTATCGGGGCTTTGTTTTGTGGAAAAGCATCGGAACGTTACGGGAAAAATTGTTTCTGCTTTTTTGTTGTAAGATATGTTTAATTATGTTGTCAATGCTCATAAATACATGGAAGGAAGGCTCCTTTTATTTATTCAAGTGTTGTTGGTCCTTGGTCATTTCTTGACAAGATGTGCTTGTGATATATATATATATATATATGCAAATATCAAATAAAAATTAATTATTTCATAATGTCACAAATTTTCATTTTTAATCTTCTTTTAATGGTAAAAATGTTTATTAAAGCAATTCGACGAGTCGAAGTGGGTATACATAGATACAGTTTTGAGTACAACGGGTTGAAGCGTGCAAATACTCAATTTTTTGTTTCCAATAACTTATCTATACTAAATCTAATTACACTGCTAATCGGGACTTGTTTAGTTGAGCCAAACCTCTCTAATACAGAAAAACCGACAAAGGATCGGACCGAATCTAGCGGTCCGTAACAAAACACTGCCATAGAAATAGAGAACTATATTCGCTTCCGTTTTAGAAAATCGCATTACGCATAGTTCATTAATGCACATGGAAGGAACTATTGTGTTGAAATTACAATATGACATAATTATATTATGGAAGTAGTTGTCAATATTCCCAAATTCATATTATTGAAAGAGAGACCATTACATTATTTAGCACATGTGTAGTAATAGCGCTAGAAAAATTCCAAGCACATACATATGTAGTCCCTCCCTATATCTATATATATGTATATGTATATGTATATATACATGCAACAAAATTGCATTATATTCTATCATAGCTTGGAAATTAGGGATCCATTAACGTGAAGGGTTACGATCTCTTTTGCTCCTCCGGCGAAATCACCGCCAATGAACACAGCCGGCACGGTGGGGCTATGGCCGAGCGGGCGGAGCGCCTGCTCGATTTCATAGCCGCCCGTGATCAGGTCTAAGTCATACACCGTCAGATTGGCTCCGAGCCCGTATAAGAGGGACTTAATCGAGTGGCTCACCCAGCACGAGCTCTTGCTAAAGATAACCACCGGATTATCGCTAACCATTTCGCTTATTCTCTCCATATATATACCTTTTTCTTTGTTTATGAAATTTGTGTTAGAAAAAAAATTGGAGTTGCTTGGACACATTTATATAGGCGGGGGTGGGGGTGGGGGTGGAATTGTGATATGTAATGGTTTTTTTTTTCTCTCAATTTTATTGAGGTTTAATTAGTAAATTAGGTTAATAATTATGATAAATGGAATTAATATTTAGAGTAAAATGTTTAATTTGAAGTGGTCCATATGATATTTGTGATGTATCTTTCCAGGAAGAATTTGCTGAGTTGGATTTATCCAAATCGGATCTTTTATTTTCTGTCTTTATTTCTTTTTTCTCCCATTAATAAGGATCGAATTTTCCAGTGAAATTGATCATATGCACACAGACACGTACTTGTATAGTTCATTACACATAATTGATAATTAATATACAATAGAACCTCGATAAATTAATAATCTCGATTAAATAATAGTTTTTCTCGATCAACTCGATAAGAACGTGTGAAATTATTAACTCGATAATTTAATCATGTGAAATTATTAACTCGATAATTTAATAATTTAGTACTGGATTAATTTATAGAGGTTTAATTAGCTGTATAATTAGGTTTTGGCATATCACCATTCACCATTAATTTGTTTCCCATACATATTCACTTTCAAGTTTCAACCCAAGAAAATCATAATTAAACTAAAAATTCACATGATCTAGAAAGAAAACATATTATTCATTCTGCAAAATGTGTATTAAAAAAAAGAAAGAAAAATTAAAGCATCCCGATACGCAAAATTATTATATATATAGGAAAATACCCGAAACCTAAAAAAAAAAAAAAAAAAAAAAGAAATTATTTCTATTGTTGATGACCAATCATCGATGGTGAAAGTAAGCTTTCGACGTAGACAATGGAGAAAACCCTATCATCAAGCTTACCAACTCGAGACTTACGCAATAGATTTTTTCCATTACAAACAAATAAATACTTCCCAAAAACCACTAGAATATCTCCGTTCTTCCTCCAGCACAACGGCTTTGTTCCGCCGCCAAGACCACGCTCGACAATGTCAACAACAAAGTCCGATAATGTCCAAACCCTAGTCCAAGATTCTCTAACACCATACTCCTTCATTACCCATACATTCACATCCGCATCATCCGTTAAATGCATCAAACCAAGATACCCTCCAAGATCCCTCAAAAAAACCGCTCCACGAGAATAGTCGATGCAATTTGTCGACAAAGTCTCGTATTTATATTTCTCATCATCCGCTGCTAAATCTAGTGAGATAATATCACAACGACAACGTCTAGTTGAAGAATAATCTAGCCGAGCCAGCCAATGCAGCCTTCCGTTGACAAACTTCCCGCAGTACGAACCCTCTTGAAGACGCCTCCCGAAACTCTCGATTGTCGTCCAAGAATCCGTCTTCGAACCATACACCTTGGTCTGATAACACCAGCCGTCGTCTCTAATGCAGACAACCTTGTATTCTCCCGACTCGTCGTTGTACCATAAACCAAATGATGATCTGTAGTAGTTGCTGAGCGGTAATTGTTCGAAAGAGGGATACGGAATGACCCTATATTTTGTGGTCGAAGGATTCCATAAAATTAATCTTGATATCCTACCGAATCGAATGAGTATTAGTCCGTTACACGAACCCGATATCGTTACGCCACCCACGTATGGGTCTGGCCGGTCGTATAAAGTAGGTTCGATGGCGGCGGGTAATAATTGGTTACAATTAAGAGAGCATGACCCCAGACAACTAGACAACCAGTCATGAGTTTGATCACTATATTTATATCTATAGGTGAAGAGGAGTTTGTGGTGAGTCAACCCGGTCAAACCTGCCGTCTCGTCTTTGGCAATCGATCTTTTGAGATGCTCTTTGATGAATGCTTCGCCGGAGATTATAGAGTGCCATGATTTCGAAACACACTTGAATCTCAATAGGGATTTTATTGGAAGATTATATAATATTTCCTCCAATATTTCCTCCATTATTATTTCTTGATTATGCCCCATGATTATTCTTCGTTTTTCGCCCATTATTATTATATATTCTTCTTTCTTTCTTTCTTTCTCCTGCAAGTTTAACCTAGATAGTTATATAACAGTGTTTTCTTATGTGTGTATTTATGTGAGAGAGTCATAATAATAACCTAGTATTAGTATTAGATCCGGACTCTATATATTAGGGTGGTAAATCATCATAGAAGTATCTCTTTCCTATATATATATATATATATATATATATATATATATATATATATATATTTATTATTATTATTATTATTATTATTATTATTATTATTGTGAAGGGTTAATTAAGACGAAATCTAGCTTGGAAATTAAATTAGGGAGGCATTAACGTGAAGGGCTACGATCTCCTTTGCGCCTCCGGCGAAATTACTGCCAATGAACACCGCCGGCACAGTGGGGCTATTGGCCGAGCGCCTGCTCGATTTCATGGCCGCCCGTGATCTGGTCTAAGTCATACACCATTGGATTGGCTCCGAGCCCGGTATAAGAGGGACTTAATCGAGTGGCTCACGCAGCACGAGCTCTTGCTAAAGATAACCACCGGATTATCGCTAACCATTTCGCTTATTCTCTCCATATATATACCTTTTTCTTTGTTTATGAAATTTGTGTTAGAAAAAAAATTGGAGTTGCTTGGACACATTTATATAGGCGGGGGTGGGGGTGGGGGTGGAATTGTGATATGTAATGGTTTTTTTTTTTCTCTCAATTTTATTGAGGTTTAATTAGTAAATTAGGTTAATAATTATGATAAATGGAATTAATATTTAGAGTAAAATGTTTAATTTGAAGTGGTCCATATGATATTTGTGATGTATCTTTCCAGGAAGAATTTGCTGAGTTGGATTTATCCAAATCGGATCTTTTATTTTCTGTCTTTATTTATTTTTTCTCCCATTGATAAGGATCGAATTTTTCCAATGAAATTGATCATATACACACAGACACGTACTACTATAGTTCATTAATTACACACAATTGACAATACCATGTACGCATGATATTTCCAATTTCCTTCTCGGAGAATATATATTTATATATATAATAAAAAAATTGAATTTGAATTTTAGGTGCACTAAATAATAAAAATTTGATACACGAAAAATTAGAATATAAGGGGGTCATAACCCCCTTGGCTCTACACTGGTTTCCCGGTGAATACCAATGAGGCATTATAACTAGAATTATATGTTTTTGAAAAGAATTATCAAAATTCAAAACAGATGAATAACTCTTGCATATATATATATTTATTAATTAAATATTATATATATGTATACAGAGAGAGACTCACTAATTCGACATATTTAAAAATAGTATCTTAAAACACAAAAAGAAATTGCATACGTATGCAAAGATCGATCGATGAAATCACCGACCGAGCACGCACTAAGGTTATCTTCTCTTTGGCCTTTGCCTTTTCATTTCCCATACTCTCTCTCTCTCTCTCTCTCTCTCTCTCTCTCTCTCTCTCTCTCTCTCTCTCTCTCTCTCTCTCCTCTCTCTCTCTCTCTCACACACACACAAACACACACACACACACACACATAAGAGAGAGTGTGCGTAATTGGTTATTTGGCCCTAAAATATCTGAAAGGCCGATTCTGCATGCATTCCTACTTATCATCACCTCATACATATATTCCCATTTTATATATTCCATTTCATCATGTCATCCTATACTATATACTATATATATAATAGATTTATATATTCAATAATAATAATAATATATGAATTAATTAGGGAATTTGACCTTTAGTAATTAATTAATTAAAACGGGAAACAAAAAGGACGATGACTCATGACACGGTTCTCAGCATCTCATGCAGTGAAAGTTTTACGTGCTTTAATTTGAATCAGACACTTTCCTTATATGTACTATATAATTAATTAATTAATTAATTAATTAAATATTAATAATCTTGTTTAATTGGTGGGGGAATATTTGATGATATTTATTTAATTTATCTTATGATCATCAGATGAAATCAGTATCAAGATCCAAATTAATACTTTACTTTCGGCCATTATTATTGCCTACTGTTGGCATCATCTTATCATGCATTAATTAAGATTTATGGAATATTTATTATTTGCAATTTTTTATTTATTTCAAGAACAGAAGATTTTTCATTAGACACGACCACAGTTCGACTCTTAACTATAACTGCAGGAGACGATTTCGTTTACTTACAGATCTACCGGCCAATTAATCCAAGTCGAAGCTCCAAAGTTCGACTTTCACTAATTTCTATTGGCATGTTCTACATCAATAAATATATACTAATTAATATATATATATATATATATATATCTTTTAATAGCAAGTCATGCATTCTAATTAGGGCTATATATCAGACCATATCCTTACAATAGTATACTTTTTTGCATATATATATCTCTAGCTAGGGTTCCTTTCAATATATATATATATATATATATATATATATATATATATATATATATATATATATATATATATATATATATATATATATATATATATATATATATATATATATATATATATATATATATATATATATATATATATATATATATATATATATATATATATATATATATATATATATATATATCTCAGACCACAGATGCGCGTGAATCAGTGAGAATATCTCTCGGGGACTCTGAGCTCGTGCACACTAATTATAAGTGTGAGATATACGCTCAACTATTATTATTAAGAGGCCTCACGCGCATATACACGCGAGCTCGCGTGGAGACCCTCTCCCCCCCAGCGCAAATAATAAAAATACTCCCCTATACATGTATGTGCATCCATATATATATTCTTCACTTTCAAGCATATATAAATACCAGCAAATCAGAACAACCATCATCACCATTCAGCAAAATAATCAACTCTCCTCAAACTTCTCAATTTCAAGACTCTCTCTCTCTCTCTCTCTCTCTCTCTCTCTCTAGATCTCCAGAATGGAGTGTGTGGTAAAACTGGCGGCACAAAAGGCGGTAGTGATATTCAGCAAGAGCACGTGCTGCATGTGCCATGCAATAAAGAGGCTGTTTTACGAGCAAGGAGTGAGCCCAATGGTGTACGAGCTGGACGAGCAGATAAACGGCAAGGAAATGGAAAGAGCCCTTATTAGGTTAGGCTGCACCCCAACCGTGCCAGCTGTTTTTGTCGGTGGCAAATTCATCGGCTCCGCAAATGACGTTTTAACCCTCCACCTCGACGGTTCCCTCAAGAAGAAGCTCAAAGCTGCCGGAGCTCTCTGGCTCTGATCGATCGATAAATATATATATAGTACTATCAGATGCTTTTTTTATCAAGCATTTGAGTCATGTCCTTTTCTTTTTCTCTCTCTAGATCTCTCTCTCTCTCTCTCTTCTTTTTCTTTTTGGGTATGTAATATGTAAGAATCAGCTTTTGATGAGCTACAAGATAGATCCTAACTGAGCTCACTTATCTTTTTTGAGCATAATGGAATATATTACAGTTTCACTAAATACTTCATGCGCAGTATTTTCTTTCGTTTATTTTTCAATGTACGTAGCATTTAGTGTATGTGACAATTTGTGCGTAGGTAGTGTTACATTGCATCAGCTTATCATTTATACTGCACGCGTATCGCGCGCAATTGATCTTGACATAAATTAAACAATATAATGGACTCAAGAATTAACGTTGTTCGGTTCAGTTTGAACCTACATATATATATCCACCAAGAAACCCATAACAAGTTTTATTGATCAAAGAACAATGGAGATCACAGAGACTTCGATTATAATACGATCGATGAAAATCAGAAAACCCTAACCGTGCTAAGAACTCAGAATTGAATTAAGATGATCGATCTCTCAATTCTCGCGTAGTGTTTTCTCTCAACTTCTCGAACTGCACATCTCTCTCTCTCTCTCTCTCTCTCTCTCTCTCTCTCTCTCTCTCTCTCTCTCTCTCTCTCTCTCTCCTGCTGCCAGCTGTCTTCCTCCAATAACAGAATCTCAGCTGCAAAACCGTTGCCCCTTTGTAGCTTCTCTCCTCCAGATATAAGTGGCCAGCTCAGCCTAGCTCACAAGCCTCCATGTCTGGACGACCATTAGCCAACATGTTACATTGCAACAATATAATGTTAATCAATATTTCAATATATATCATGATGTAATTAATAATATTGTGTATATGAACTCAATGTATATTATAAACTTTCTTTTCAAGATTATATTATGGAGGTGAGTGTGTGAGAGAGAGTATGTTTGTGTGTGTGCATGGAAGCCCTAATTATTTAATTTATGACGTCATAAATAATGACAGCAAAATTGTCTTGATGTATCCTTTGAACTTATCATCTGTCTGACATGTATACATGTCATATGTGGTCCATACGTAGACACACACACACACACACACACACGCATTCAGGATGTTTGCAAATGGATCACCATCAGCTGATGCATGCATGCATGCTACTGTGTGTGTGTGTGTCCACTTATAACACTAGCTAGTAGCTTCTATACATACATATATATATGCCTAACTGTATGTTCTGTAAAATATTCTCATCTATCGTTTTCCTCGAATATCAAAGTTGACATAATTACGAGGCGCACCACGTAGCCCGCCTTCTATCCACACATAAAGTCGACTCGAATCGAAAAAAAAAGTTATACCGTACTATATAATCTCATAATATTATTTAATCACTGCATGTATGTGAATCTCCTTTTCTGTGACATTTAATTAGAATATATCCACTTATCTAAAAGAACCTTCTTCTTTATTTTTTCTTTTAAATCAATCCCTTTTTTCCCACCCTTCACTAAAACCCTCACTTGTCGAAGCTCTATAAATACACAATGCGTCGACGCATATATTTACCATCACAATAAAAACTCTCTCATTCAATCTTCTCTTTTTCGAAGTATATTTATACATATTTTTTTGCGAATTTCTTTTTTTTTTTTTTTGAAGTTTGAATTTGATCGAAAATGGATCGGATAGCAAACATATCTTCGCAGAAAGCAGTGGTGATATTCAGCAAGAGTAGTTGCTGCATGTGCCATGCAATAAAGAGACTGTTCTACGATCAAGGCGTAAGCCCTTTGATCCACGAGCTCGACGAGGATTCAAGGGGAAAAGAAATGGAGTGGGCCCTTATGAAACTAGGCTGCAGTGGTCCAACCGTTCCAGCTGTTTTTATCGGCGGTAAACTCGTCGGATCAGCCAATACCGTTATGACACATCAGCTCAACGGCTCCCTCAAGAAGATGCTTAAAGATGCCGGAGCCTTATGGCTTTAGTATTCACTAGTTATAATAAAAGAAAAAAAATGTAAGAAACCACAAAACAAATTGTACCGAAACTTTTCGTTTTTTTTTTTTTTTTTTTTTGGGTAGGATCGCGCGCGGCTTTTAAGTACTGTATGAAGGGATAAGTTGTAAAACTCTTTATACATGCATCCAAATTAAATCGAGTTTTAATTTGTGAAGTATATATTGACGTGGCTCTTTTTTTCAAGATAGTTATCGTAACGCATGCTATTAAAGATAGGGTTTAGAGAATCGATCACTAGTTATATATACGTATTGTATTCGATTATATATACGTATCGCAAAGTAAGTGGAGACGGAAAATGATAGGTAGGCTACTTTTCGGTCGGAAAAAAAAACCGATTCTGAAATTTAAAAACATGGCATAAGAATGTGAAGATTCTGAGTTATCAAGATGAAACGAAAACAGCATCACATGCTTGTTGTGGAATCATCAGCCTTTAATTTGAAATTCGAAAACTTCGACGTGGCTCGAATTCAATCTGATTCTTCAAGAATCAAGATGATGATGTCATCATTTTATTGCAGTGGAGGAATGAATATATGTATATATATATATTCCCTGTTCATAACTAAAAAAACCAAACTGAAATGACATTGGGTTACATATATAGATATATGTGTCTGTATATATACATATATTCTTGAAATTGTGCTGTCACTATCTGTGACCCTTCAAGACTCTTGGGGGTTATATGTATATATAAAAGAAACCTAATAATTATGCCTAAAACACCCCTCTTTGCTTTGTGTGATAGAGTGGCCCTATCAGCAAACAAAAGATATATTCTTTGATGCACTCCTTATTCACTAAGAGCATCTCCAATGGAGAGGGGGGTTTCCCCTCCCCTCCCCTCCCCCTCCCTCAACCTCTACCTACGTCGTTTCCAACCGTTCGGTCTTTTATTACTTTTTTTCCAATCCCCACTCTCACCACTATAATAATAAAAAAATAATAATAACAATAATAATAATATTATTATTATTAATATTAATAACTAATAATTAATAATAATTAGTACTAATAATAATTAATAATAAAAATAATGATAATAAATAATAATAATAATAATAATAGTAATAATAATAATTTAATTATAATAATACAATATTCAAATAAAAGTAAAGAAATAATCTTCAACTAATTCAATAATTGAAAAAAAATTGATTTAATAGCTCATGTGTGGGCAAGACACAATGGAAATATGTAATAATTTTACTTAGATTTTTATTTACAAATTAAGTGTTTGGTTTTATTAAAATTATGTTGTTATTTCAAATTTATAATAAAAAGTAAAATAATCGTATTTGTTGTTTTTTCTAATTTTTACAATTATAAAAGAACTATATTAAAAAATAAAATAAAATAAAACTAAATAAAGAAACAAAATAAAATCATATAAAGAAACAAAATAAAATAATAATAAAATTACGAATAAAGATATAATTTAAAAGGAAATAAAAAAATAAAAGAAAAGAAATGAAAAAATATTAAAAGTCTTTTATTTACAAGTGTTGATTTTATTGAAATTATGTGATATTAAATTATGTAATTAAATAAATAAAATAAAATAAAATAATGATATAATATAAAAAAGGGGTAAGTACATATAAATCCCCAAACACAAACTTAAAGTGCGGATCAGTCCCTACAGACGTTTCATAGACGTATCAGTCCCTAATGCAAAGTTTCACATGCAGTTTAGTCCCTAGAGGCAAGTGAAAATTCTAAAATACCCTTTACTTTAATCTGAAATTACATACTTTTTCATTTTCTCTCTCTTACTTTTCTCTTTCTTCTCTCTTTCCTCTTTCCTCTTTTTCTATGTCTCTTCTCTCTCTCCTTTTCTTGCCCGTTCCAATTCAATTTATCTTATTTTTCTTCAAACAACAAACGAAAATGAACACGAAAATGCGCAAGAAAACAAACTCCTAAATCAATACAAATGAAGCAACAAGAACAAAGAAAAGGAAGAACCAATGTAGTAGAATAAGAAAAAAAACAAAAAGAAAAGAGGAAAGAGACCCATTTTCGAAGAATGGTGAAGGAGAAGAAATAAGATTTGACTTGTCTCCCCTAATCATTAACTCGGTTCCAACATCTGTTATTTTGTTGTTCGAGTTTGTAAAGATCATTTATTTATTGTCGATTTTGAACACTCTTCTCTTCCGTATTATTCTTCGGCGATTTTAGCATGTTCCCAAAGAATTTTTAGTCCTAGCAAGGATTTGATGTATGATGTTTGATGACTTTGATATAGGAAATGGGAGAAAGGTTTATTGTATTACTCTTGGTGATGTTGTAGTTTATGCCATATGCAATAGTGGTATTCCTAGTGCATTTGGATGGTGTTGAAAGAGAGTATTGGAAGTACTAGTAGTGGAACTTTATAGTGGATTATATTTGATATAATTGTAATTATGTGTATGTAGTTGCAGGAATATGTCCTTTTATATAGCTAACAATATTATTGGTCAGCTCTACTCGTACTTTATATTGAAAATATTGTACCATATATTTTGATGAATTGTACTTACATGTTGAAGTCATGGTACTATATTGTGTTATGAGTTGAGTTTATATGGTTGACTTGGCCACAAATTAATATAAATAATATAAGCGTACCATACTAATGAACAACACATATTTTCTAGTTTATTTGAAGATACGTGTCAATTCTAGACATGTACTTCACATGTGTATTCACTGTACTTACGTGTTTCACACATCGGACTATAGTTTGTGATGAATTGAGTTATACCGATTTCCATGACACTTTAATGATCAATTAGTATAGGAGATGCATAAATTATGTTTTAGATGTGTATGTTAAGGTTGGTGAGCATTATTGTTGCGTTTGGAGTACAAAATGCCATAAATATATTGAATTTCATACATGATACTCATATAAGTGTACAAGATACCCTAAATGTGTTGGATTTATTACATGATACTCATATAAGTGTATAGGCTCATGCGTAGAGCTAAAATTGCCCTCAAATGTTCCCATAATCTATGTTGATCAACTCCTACATCATCTCATTTCATGTTAATAGTCTTAAAATGATATTATATGCATGCATTGGCCCCACAATAATATAAGGAATGTAACAATACAATATGAATGGACAACATATACTTTATGAATAAACTCACAATACTATATGCATCAATAACTCTAACTTTACCAGTTTATACATTGTACTTATAATTTGTGGAACAAAACATACTATATTTTGTGATAAATTGAGTTGAACCAATTTCCTTGACACTTTAATGATGAATTAGTATGGGAGATGCATAAATTATGTTTTAGATGAGTATTTTAAGTATGGTGAACATTGATGTTACGTTTGGAGTCCACAAATGTGTTTGATTTCCTACATGATATTCACATATAGTACAAGACTTGTATGTAGAACTAGTATTTTTCTCAAATCTTACCATAATTGATGTTGATGGATTCCCACGTTATCTCATTTCATGTAATTAGTCATAAAATGAAGGAATGCCTAAGAAAATGAGTTTATATTGTTGCATTGGTTCCAAAATAATATATATAAAGCAAGCGTACCATATAAATGGAGAACATCTATTTTTTCATTGAAAGAAGCGTACTCTATGAATGGACAACGCGAGCATCACTGGTGTAATGCATTCATTTCTATGTAGAATAAATTCTACCATAATTATAATGAATTGAATTGTACCAATTTCATAATAAATTTAGTGATTAGTGAGTGTGCGAGGGACATAAAATATATTTTAAATGACTATTTTAAGATTGATGAACAATGGTGTTGCGTTTAGAGTTCAAAATGCCTCAAAATGCCGACATGATACTCACTTAGACAACACGTACTTCACCACTGAACCAAATATACCTGATTCTAGACGTAAGACAGCTATGTTAACGTATTTATTCTACTACATGACTAGCAATACTAGTACTTTTCATCTCTTATTTCAACACCATCCAACCACACTAGCAATACTATTGTTTAATACGACATATACTACTGCAGTCACATAAAACACAAAATGTTTCAAAAAATAATAAGAAGCGTCTTTCTCAGAACCTATATCAACTATCAAACATCTTTTAAATATGTGACTAGAAAAAGAAAATCAAATCGTGTTTCTTCCCCTTCACAATTCTTCAAGAATGGGTCTCTTTCCTCTTTTCATTTTGTTTTCTTCACGAGTTTTTTCTTGCGCCTTTTCATT